TATCCTGGCATGTTGGATGATATCTTTATTCTGTTCTCATGCTTGATTGGCAGTTGGGCTGGGTATAGAATTCTTGGTTGAAATAACTTTCCCTCAGAGTCCTGAAGGCCATGCTCCCTTTGTGTTTTAACCTTCAGTATTGCTGCTGACAAGTCCTTTACCATCCTGATTCATGTTTCTTTGCATGTCACCCACTTTTCCCCACTCTGGAAGCTTTCAGAGGCATCTGAAATTTCAGAATGGTGAGTAGGAGTTTTTTTATTCATTATTCTGGGCACTCAGTAGAACTTTTCCGTCTAGAAATGTATATTTTTTTTAATTCTAGGAAATAAACATTTTATGTATAACATAAGTTACATTATATAGAAATACATATTTATGTGTATTTGTTATATAATATATAAATACAGGTAACTATAAATCATATATATATAATTTTTATATAATTTCATTGATAATTTTGTCCTATATTCCCTTTTTTTCATTCTGGAGTGCCTGTTTGTTGGCAGTTGCACCTCTGTGATTGATCTTTTTCTTGTCTTTTTTCCTCTATCTTAATTCTTTTTTTTTTTCTTAGACTAAAATCCTGATTAGAGTTCTGTTTGCAGAGTGGGGCTAATTGATTAAGTCTGTATTATAAATGATAAGGCACATAGCCTTTTTCACTGGGGACTCAGTATGTGCAGTTTTTAAATTTTTTTTCTTGGAGCAGGTCCATTTCCCTAGAAGGGAACCCTCCAGTCCCCTGCGTGACTGCTGGTGTTCTATGAGTTGAGCTGGGGAAGTGAGCCGAGGATCACACACATAAACCATGTGTTTAATCCAGCCTCAGTCCTGCTGGGTATTCAGAGCCCAGAACTTCTGCGGTTCAACCTCTTTGACTCGTTTTCTGCTGGAGTGGAGAAGGGACCCACGTGCCTGGATGTTGGACGTTCAGGCAGGTCGAGAGGACTGGTGGGGACCGGGAAGGTGTCATACTGCTCATTTATAGGAACCTTCTGCCGGTACTCCTGTTTTCAGTCCCAAGCTTGAGCCCCTCACAGTCCCCCAAAGTACAGTTCCCCAAGCCTGTACCTTCCCAGAGTTCCTGCTTCTAAAGCCTTGTCCAGCTACTTCTCATCTTCTGGAAGTTTGTCAAAAACTCCCATGTTCTCATCTTCTCTTCCATTTTCTTTGTCCTCATGGCTTGTAATATCTTTTTTAAAAAAAAAGTCCCTTATCATCTTCCTTTGTGGAACTTAGGGAATTAAAGTTGAAGTCCCTCTGGTTGACTTTATTACTTTGTTTTTCTTTGTTTGTTTTTAGGATGAATTTATTTTATTTTTATTTATTTATTTTTTAAATGAGAGGACTGGGGATTGAACCCAGGACCTTGTGCATACTAAGCATGTATTCTCCCATTGAGTTATTTCCCTCCCCGGCCCTGACTTTCTTGTTAGGCAAATTTTTATTGCTTTGTACAGAAAAGCTACCGTGGTACGTTTAATCCAGGTCGTTGTCGACTTCTTCAGCTGTTGCCTTCCCAGTAGTGGTGGATCTCATCATACCTGTCATTGTAGTAGGTCCTTGTGGTTCCCCCAGCCTCACCGGAGCTCTTACTCTTCAATCAGAGTTAACCTCTGAGGATAAGAATAGTGTGAATCTTCTGTGACCTTTCCTTTGATAATTCAGTAGGGAACCTCTGTGCTCTGCCCAAGGCAGGCAGGTAGACAGGCAGCTCAGTGGGATCCAAGCCTAATCATTTTCCTCCAAAGTGGGGATAGTCAGGTGTGCTCTTAGTGGGGACTTCCCCTTTACCTGCAGCCTTCTTTTCAGCCTGGACCGGTATCTATTGCGTTTTTCATGGCTTTGGCTCTGGTCTGTACTCACGGACCAGCTTGAACAGCTGAGTAGCTGTTTGATGGCCCAAGGCCTGAGTGAACTGGCCTTCAGAGTCTCCTAGGGGGTGGCAAGCTCTTTGCCACTGCTGCTGGGTGAGCCAAGTAAAAGGGAAGGGAATTAAATTATGGGTGGTAATATAGATGTGACCTGGGCCATGGTGGGACCTCTATCTTTTAGGTCATGAAAGATGATGGAGTTTTGGCTGCTTTATCCCCAATTCCCAGAACACCATCCTGGTGGCTGTCCAAATGTGGCTGAGATTTTTTTTCTTATTAAACTTCTCCCTCTTCTAATCCTGTGTTCTCTACTGCCTGGCAACATCCTGGTGACTCACTTGGAAGCCTTTTGTGATTTGCAGCTGCCCTATGACGTCGTGATATGATAGCTTACTTAACATGTGCCCAACTTTTGAATGATCATCTCTGTAGGTTCCATCTGAAGCAGGAGTCATCAGTAAAGTCCAAGCTCACAAAGAATTTAAAGGCAGTTACAAATCAAAAACACGCGCTCCCACGTGGGGTTCTCAGGGGCATGGCATCAACCCTGCTCTGAAGAGGTCAGTGTGCTGGTGTCTTAGGGATGTGTTTGGCTTGAAATTCCTTGTTGGTTTAGAACAGTGGCCCTCATTCTGGTCCCTCCAAAAAGCAGCATCCGCCTCCCCTGGGAGCTTGTCTGAAATGCACATTCTTGGGCCTTACTCCAGACCACGGATACTTAGGCTTGTGTCCCAGTAATGTGTTTTCACAAGCTCTCCGGAAGGTTCTGATGCACGGTTTGGATGATCTTGTAGACAGACACAGAATTTAGCTGTTGTGGGTTTGAGGTTTAGTCCCAGAAAGCCTGGAAAGCTGTCCCCCAGGGAGCAGTGATCTCACCTAAGGCTTCTTGAGGGAAATGTCCGTCCAGCATCACCGCCTAAGCCTTTCTTAGGTCATTGTGGAGCAGTGTCAGCATCTGATTTGGGAAAGCAGCCACCTGGACCCAAAGCATGCTTAAATCTTAAAAGAAAAAACAACTTGGCTTATTGTACATCCTGTGATGACCTAATGAGGTCCGTGCGTGTAGATGTGGGAATAACAAACAGCATTTGGTGTTCTGGGGGTGCCTCCTGGTCTCTGTTCTGCTTCTGCGTACATATGGGTAAGGAATGTCTGTTTCTCCCAGTTGAGATCACACTGTGTGCACTGTTCTATGCTGTCTCTCTCCGGCCCTGCTTCCCATCATAAAAGAGCCCTAGATACCGGTGTGCTAAGGACTGGGGTGGCGAGGGGCCCCAGGATTTAAGTTCCAGTTGTCAGAGGTCCCTGTCCCCTGAGAAAATCAGGGGCTTAGGCCCCCAGGAGGTCGTTTTCACCGTGGCATTTGGGGAAGGGGGAGTCAGGGAAAGGGGAAGGCAGGGGGAGCAGGGTGACCTGCTACTCCACTGCCATTTAGATCCCCTGACTCTGCAAACCAGCTGAATGTTGCTTTTTCATGTGCTGCCTGGAATAAAGCTGGCGGATTCTTTCCTCCCGAACAATGGCTGTTTTGATGAGTTCTTGGTTCTCCCAGGCGATGCCCCACACAATGAAATCTTTTCTTTTCCATTTGTTGAAGCTGGTGGACCTTATGGACCCTGTCTGATTGACTTTTTGCAAATGTTTACAGTTAGCGTAGTGTGAAGGCTGAGCTTGCTCTGTGCATGGAGAGAAAGAAAAGGTGGATGACGACTCCCCCGTCCCCTGCAGGGGAAAAAAGCACATTCTGAGAGGAAAAAATAACTCAATCCCTTTCAGAATTAGAGATCAAGTTGGTAGCAAAGGAAGAGGGTGAAAGAGGACCCTTGGGGCAAGTGGATGCTTTGGGGCAGGGGGCGGGGGGCTCTCCTCTTAGTGGGGAAGCTGGGTACACTCTGTTGGGGCCCTATTCTGTGGGATGGTCTCCTTTCCTCCTGGATCCAGGCAAAGCTTGCAGAAATCTTTGTCAGAGGAGCCACTGCCTCCCCGCCCCCAACCCCCAGGATCCAGGCCCAGAGGAGCCCGTGCCAAGGACCTGCTCTCAGCCAAGTTCACACTCACCTTGCTTGACCTGGCTGGTCAGGTAGAGCAGGCCTGAACTGGCCGGAGCAAAGAGATGTTCCCAGTCCAGGGATATGGCCTCCCCTCCCTCCTTGCTTTATCTGCCTTAAGTGAACCCCTGTCTGCTGAAGGTCTCCTTTGCTTTTTCCATGACCAGTGATGGTCACCTCACACAGTTTGGAACCAAAATCTCTCTCCCTGCAGATGACCTACTCTGTCCTGGCTTTTACTTCAGTCATGACAGAAGATACTGGGACACACAAAGGTCTGCTTTCAGTTTGTTGGAATTTTCCCAAAACACTTGGGCTCTTCCAGAATCTTCCCTCTGTCCTCTAAGACCAGTTTTGTGGGTGTTGAGAATACAGGGTAGGCAGAGACCTGTACTAGGAAGCTGGCATGAGTGTATGTGTGCGTGTCTGTGTCTGTGTGTGGAACTTGTCTGTCTGTAACAGTGACAATAGCACTCCCATTTCTTGGGGGCTCATTACATGCCAGTTACTGCGCTCAGCACTTGGTCAGCATGATCAGTAGGTCCTGTGCCATGAATGACCTCCTTCAGGCTTCCCTTTGGCTGGAGAGTTGGGCCTGGCTGGGTTCATGGCCCACCCTGCTGTGCTGCCTGGTCCTGGCCCCCCGCCTGGGACAACCAGACACTGACTGCACAGCAAGAGCCTTGCAGGCCAGAACCAGGAGCTTGGGTTTTATTTTAGCATAGGTGGGGAGCTGTGGGTAGGTTTAAGCGAGAGGACCCGAAATAACCCACCCCAGGCACCTGCCTTTTCACCAGCTAACCAGTTGTATAGCCAGTCCCGTTCCTTACTTAGCGGCAGGAAGAAGTGGCCTTCCATTGGGAAGCCTCCATTGTTTCCTATTAAAATGGCCTTCTGCTGTTTCATCACCACCATACTTGTTCCCAGCATTATTGAAATACTTGGGAGGGATGTTCCACTGGTGGAAGTGGAGGTGGCTTGGTTATTTTTTTTCACTGAATCAAACACAGCCAAGTCATCAAGAGGTCAGTCAGTCCTTCCCCATCTTACAGACTTATCACTGACATGATTCTCTTTGAGCATTTGTTCATAATCCATCAGCTTTAGATGCCCAAAGACATAGACTTGGGTCAAAATCTTTGTTTTTCAAGTTGTCGTACAGTGAAATACTTTTTTTTTTTTGGCATCCATTTCCATGAATTTTAACATATGTGTAGAGTTGTGTAACCACCACCAGGATACAGAATAGTCCATCACTCCAAAAAGCTGCCTTGTGCCTATCCCTTTATCCCTCCCATAGACTTGCTCTTTTGAAGTATAACTCACATATCATATAGGATTGCCATAATCAATTTTAGACACTTTCATCACCCCAAGAAGAAACTCCATACCTGTTACTACTTCCTCCCTATTTTTCCCAACCCTCCAGCCCCAGACAACCACTAATCTACTTTGTTTCTTTGGATTTGCCTATTCTGGACATTTCACATAAATGGAATCATATGATGTGTGCTCCTCTGTGTCTGATTTCTTTCATTAGCGTGATATTTTCAAGATTCACCATCCGTGTTGTAGCATGTACCAGCACCTCATTCATTTTCATTGCCACGTAATATTCCACGTGTGAATATATGCCACATTTTGCTTATCTGTTTATCAGCTAATAAACGTTTGGATTGTTTCCACTTCGGACTTGTGTGAATAATGCTGCTGTGAACATTCATGGGCAAGATTTTGTGTGGACATAACGTTTCCATTTCTCTTGGGTAGATTGCTGGAAGTGGAACTAATGGATCAAATGGTGACTCTTTGAGGAATTGCCAGACTGCTTTCCACAGTGGTTGCAGCCTTTTACACTTTCCCACCAGCAGTGTGTGCGGGTTCCAATGTGCCCATGTCCTTACCAGCGCTTGTTAGTATCTGTCTTTTTGGTTTTCGTCATCCTAGTGGGTGTGAATCGGTGTCTCACTGTGGTTTTGATTTGCATTTCCTTGCTCACTGCTGACGTGCACCGTCTTTCTTTCCATGTGCTTCCTGGCCATTTGTGTTGCACAGACTTTCAGAATTATTTTGTTGAATTGAAATATATCTTGGGTTAAGTATCCTGCAATAAATGCTTAAAATATTTCAACATAAGTAGAAATACACCCTTTTCCCTTGTATCATTGATTTTTAAAATTATATTTCGTATACGTATTAACTGACATTAAATGACTATTTCACTGCAGTGACTATTAGAAATTGTAAAATTAAAAGCATTCTTTTTTTGTTCTGTTCACTCAGAAATCCTGTAGAAACAAGGTCAGAAATCCTGCTTTTTTAAGGTCCCAAATGCAACATGATAGTATACATTTTTCATATCTTAACTTTTAAATGTGTGCTGTGTGAGGATATAATTTTGACTACTTGGGATTTGGGTTTTTTTTGGAAAATTACAAGTCCTTACTTTTTTCTGGCCCTGATGGTGATAACAGGCTGCTCTGCATCTCTTCTAATTTACTTCAACATCAGCTTTTCTGTTTCCAGTGCTAGGGTTTTAAAAATAAGACGCATGTTAAAGTACCAAAATTGCCTCAGTCGGGGGGGGGGTCAGTTTTATATGGATTTGAACCAACCTGTAACCGGAGTCACACACAGCTGCTATTAATAGGACGGGGCCTGGGGAAGGGCACCTTGTGCTGCCTCAACCGATTGCGATCAGGCAGCTTCCCAGCCAGCAGTGATCACGGGGATGGAAATTGGGGCATTGGTGCATTTTGAGGTGCAGTAATTAAAATCACTCTGAAACCGGTAAATTGCCCTTTGGTATTTAGACCCAGAGGGATACCCAGTGCTACTCTGAGTATCAGGGAAATGGAATATTCTTATATAAATATGGCTGCACTATAAGCCCCTGGAGGGCTGGAAAACAGTTCTGGGCAAGTTTTCTACCCACAGCAAGTGCACAGTGGTGCTTCTGGAATGAATGAACAAACAAACGAATGAATGATGGGAGTAGCAGAAACTGATGGCCAACCCACATATCTATCTTCTAGCACATTTTCTCTTTCCCAGCAGAACCTAGATTTTGTTCCACTCTTCATCCTCTGGTGCCACATGTGGGGCTAGGGGAAGGGGCGGCACGGACAGGTGTTATTGGTCCAGGCCATCACTCTGGTGCCGTTCCCTCCACCATGGTTTTGACACAGGCCATTGCGATTAGGACAGGTCTGCTTCAGTCTCCTGAGGAAGGGTTTCCTCGTGGGTAGACTGCCCCCTCCTTCCCCTGGACGTTGTCTTGTCTGCAGGTGACACTGTATCTGCTCCCCCCGCCCCCCCCACCTTGGGACCCGAGCAGAACCAGGGTGGAGGCGAACAGGGACACCCTGCATGTGGTCCTGTGGAAGAGGAGGGACGGACTGGGTGGTGGGGTTGCCTTCCACTCGCATCTGCTTCTCAGGCAGGCCATGTGTCCCTCTTCCATCAGGCGTCCTGTCACCTGGAGAACTCACCCTGCTTAACCTGCTTTTTGTCCTGCCCCTTGTTAACCTGCGCTACTTGGGAAAAACAAAAAAGGCTACCAATGGAAGGGTGTTTTCATTTTAAGAGCCAATAAACCCGAACTTGTCGTTGAAAGCCCAGCTAAGACTTCACTTCCTCCCCTGCGCCTCCCGAGTCTGCCCTTTGCCCACGCCGGGACGTCGGGGTTCTTGGTGCCTCGGTGAGCTCTCCTGGCTGGGCTCTCACTGCTTTTGCTGCTGAGCTACAGGGTGCATTTTGGTGGGAAGTCAGACCTATGCTTTTGTGGATCTTTCCGTGCCTTTTCCTCTAAGAATACGTGTGGTAAGTGGCATGTGATTTTTAAAAAAAACAGTTGTTTTATTTCAAAAGATATCCAACTAAAATCTTAATTACTTTCTAGGGAGAAATTTAAAGAGACTGATTTCAAGGTGGTGGCTTTCTTCTTTTTCCTACAGGGAGATAAACTACCTGTGCTGGAGACGGTTCTAGGCGGTGTTGAGTAACTTGGGTTCTTTCCTGGCTGCACCATTTACTTGTGGTACCTCAGTTTCCTCATCTGTGAAATGGGAGTGCTAATACCTACTCCCCCTACTTCATAGTTTTGTGAGGAATGAATGAGATAATCTACCTGAAAATGACATATACTTAGTATGGACAGTAATACAGTTCTAAAATTGTAAGGGACAGTGTTACACACACATAGAAGTAACTTAGGAGTGCTTGGTTGATATTAATCACCTTTTTTTCCTGCCTAAGAAACATCTTTTTTTAATCTGAGATATTGTATATTTTTCCTGTTGAACCCAGACAACCATGTCGTTAAGACTGATAGGAGCAAGACCATGGAGGTTTTTTTTTTAATAACATTAAAGTTTCAAAATTTTTAAATAAAAAATTTTTTTAAGGCTGTTATTTTTAAGGCAATTTTAGGTTCACAGCCAAATTGAGAAGAAAGGACAAAGTTTTCGTATTACTCCTTGTCCCTCCACACTCACATGTAATTTCCCCCATCATCATCATCACTCACTGGAGTGGTACCTGTGTTATGATTGATGAACCTACATTGACACGTCATAAACACCCCAAGCCTGTAGTTTACCTTAGATTCACTCTTGGTGTTGTACATTCAGTGGGCTTGAACCAGTGTATAATGATGCATATCCACCATTATAATGTAAAGAATATGATCCCTGCCCTGGAAATCTCTGTGTTATCCCTCTTCATCCCCACTCCCCACCTCCCACCCCTGGAAGCCATGGATTGTTTTACTGTCTCGATAGTTTTGCTTTTTCCAGAATGTCATGTAGTTGGAATACAGTATGTAGCCTTTTCAGATTGGCTTCTTTCACTTCGTAATATTTATTTACATTTCCTCCATGTCTTTTCATGGCTTGACAGCTCATTTCTTTTTAGCATTTAATAATACTTCATCATCTGATGTACCACAGTTTGTTTATCCATTCACCTACTGAAGAACATCTTGGTTGCTTCAAAGTTTTAACAGTTAGGAATAAAGATGCTGTTAACATCCACGTGCAGGCTTTATGTGGACATAAGTTTTGAACTCCTTTATGTAAATACCAAGGAGTGAGATTCTGCATCACATGGTAAGAGTTTGTTTCGTTTTGTAATTAATGGACGAGCTGTCTTCCAAAGTGACATTACCATTTCATATTCCCGCCAGCAATGAATGAAAGTTTCTGTTGCTCCACATCCTTGTCAGCATTTGGTGTTGTCAGTGTTCTGGATTTGGCCAGTCTAATAGGTGTGTAGTGGTATCTCATTGTTTTGATTTGCATTTCCCTGATGACATGTGATGTGGAGCATCTTTTCATGTGCTTATTTGCCATCTGTATATCTTCTTTGGTTAAGGTCTTTGGCCCATTTTCAAATCAAGTTTGTTTTTTTTACTGTAAACTTTTAAGAATTGCTTATGCATTTTGGATCAGTCATTGATCAGATGTGTCTTTTGCACGGATTTTTTTTCCCAGTCTGTAGCATGTCTTCTCATTCTCTGGACATTGTCTTTCACAAAGCAGATGTTTTTAATTGTAATGAAATTCAGCTTACCAATTCTTTCTTTCATAGGTCATGCCTTTGGTATTGTAGCTAAAAAAAATCATCACCATACCTAAGATTATCTAGGTTTTTGCCTACATCTGTGTTTTATGTTTAGGTCTATGATTTTGAGTTAATTTTTATGAAGGGTGTAAAGTCTGTCTAGGTTCATTTTTTTGCATGTAGATGTCCAGTGGTTCCAGCACCGTTGGTTGAAGAGACTGTCTTTGCTTCACTGTGTTGCCTTAGCTTCTTTGTGAAAGATCAGTTGATTGTATTTAAGTGGATCTATTTCTGGACTCTGTTCTGTTCCTCTGTTCTGTTTGTCTCTTTTGCCAATACCACCACCTTGTCTTAATTACTGTGGCTTTATAGTAAGACTTGAAGTTGGATGACATCGGTCTTCCAACTTTGTTCTTCTCCTTCAGTATGACATTGGTTGTTCCAGCCCCATTGCCTCTCCTATGAACTTTAGAATCAAGTTGCTGACATCCACAAAACAACTTGATGGAATTTTGTTTGTGATTGCATTAAATCTATAGATCAAGTTGGGAAGAACTGACATCGTTACAATATTGAGTCTTTCCTGTCATTAACATGCAGTATTTCTCCACAGAGGGCTTTCAAGAAATCCCATTAGCAGTGAAGAAAACCTAGAAAAACCCCACCCACACGGGGCTGAATTCTGCTTGGAGAAGATGGACACTAAACAAATGAGTAAATTATAATAGACTGGAAGGAGTAAAATGAAGAAGAAAAATAAGGCAGGGTAGGGGATATTGAGTGTTGAGAATGTCTTGCAGTTTTGCACAGGGTGGTCAGGAAAGGGCTCAGGGAGGTGTTGATCTGTCAGCTAAGATCTGAAAAAGGGCAGCAGAGAAGGCCCTGAGGATCCATGAAGGAGGAGATGCCAGGTAGAGGGAAAAGGAAGCACAGAGGCCCAGAGTTTTGAGAAACAGAGGAGGCCAGTGTTTAATGACTTCTTTGGAAATAAAATTTGTTTAAATATTAAACAAGCAACTCCAGGAAAACGATGTAAAAATTATTTTAGGGGCACTGAAAATGTTAAAGGGCAACTGAAAGGTCACACTTCAGTGTTTGTTGTCCCTTTGTGTTTGGAAGAGTGGAGACAGGGACGCACTGGCAGCGTGGAAGGACCTGGGAACATGATCAGCAGGTGGTGGTCTGTTCTGCGGGCGGGCATCCACCTAGCAGTCTTGCTAGTGCATGGTTGCTGCCTGCTGTCGGGAAGGGGCAGAGCCTTAATGTTAACATTAAACATTCACATGATGTCAGGTGTGTTTTGCAGTCCCTTGGGGACCTGATCAGCTTCATTTCAGGCCTAAATAAGCTGACCATCTCAGGGATTTGATGACTTGTGCAGAAGGAGCCTTTGGAAACTAGAATGCTACGCTTCAGGCCTTCAAGTTGACATACAGTTTATTTTATTTTATTTTGAAAAACTATGATGATGTAATTTTAGATTTACAGAGAAGTTGCAAAGAGAGTGCAGAGAGTTCCCACGCACCCTTGACCCAGCTTCCCCTGATGTTAACATCTTGCATAACCATTGACCTTCAGCAATGGGTTTGTGTGTACGTTTGCAGGCAGAGAGAGACGTGCGCGCGCACACACACACACAACATGAGAGAGGCAGCTCTGTTATCTGTCGGTCCTTTGATAGCTCATCACACTCACACCTCCTGGGTACAGCATGGACTCAGGCCACGGCAGGAGCAGGCAAGGAGCTACTCTCCAGCTCAAGTTCCAAAGCAGGAGATACGGGGAGAACAGTCAGCTGTCCGGGGAGCTCCACGTATCATGTGAACTGGGCGCCACTTGAACTTTATTTAGTAGAAGATTGGCTCCAGATTCTTAATATAGACCTCCCAGCTATCATGTGAGAATTCCATTCTGCTCAAGGACGGATACAAGGGAATTGGAGAATGTTCGCTTCTGCTTGTCTCATGCTAAGTCATCTCACTTCTTTCCCATCTAATTTCTGAGTCAGAAGACCAACAGTATATAGCAGTGTATTTGTGAATCAGGAGCAACAAGTCCATCTGTCCGTCCGTCCGTTTGTCCATCCATCCATCCATTTGCCGTGATTTTAACTTTATTAAAAGTAAAAGTAATACTTTGCTCTGGACGGGGTCCAGGTTGCTTTGGAACGGGACATTCGTTCGAGATGATGGCAGCTCTTGGCACTCACTCTGGGGTTTAGGAAGGAACCCACACCCTTCTCACGCTATCCCTCCAGAATGCAGCTGTCTGTCCTGAAGGCTGTGGGACAGCTGCTTCTGGCCAGGGCCACCCAGCTGTGGGAGAAGGGGACATCAAAATTGCAGGAGGAGCCGTGGCCAAGATCCTTCTCATGTGTGCTGCGGACAAGGTTTTGACGGTGGAGAGATCACTCAACTTCTCATACGTCTACTTTCCCGTGGATGAATGGAATTTTCCAAAAGTGAGAATAGATCGCTGCCAACTATTCATGTAGAAATCTCTTATTCTCTTAGAGGACTATTGGTATTATAAAAGGATGCCCTATTAGTGGAGCTGCAAACAAAATACTTTAATGCTTTAAATTCCTTTTGGCTAAGGATAGATTTTTTTTTAAATTTTGAAGACTTTTTTTTTCCTCTCAGGGCCAATTTTAGAAAAGTAAAGCTTGCACTCACATGTTACAAAAAATTCCATTTAAGCCTTTAGGATTGAAAAATAGATATATACCCGTCTGAGAGACTTGTTTCTGTTTAACCTTTCAGAAGCTACAAAACCAGCTTAAATTTAGTGGGATGATACCACTGTGCCGCTGGTCAAACTTCCTCTTTGAGTAATCACACTTCTGAGCCTTGCTTATTAATTTTTTCTTTTCACTGACCATGGATGCTCCTTGTCTGTTAAAAAAAAAATTGTGTCAATACTGTCTGGATGCCTTAAACAAGATATTTTGCTGTTGAGAAAGAGCATAACAGGGCTGGGTCTCTAACAAAGACTGTTCAGTCTGCTGCGAAATATAATTTTCATCAGGGAAGGATCCATTTCACTGGCAGCCAGGGTGGACAGTCTTTGTGTCCTGCCACTGAGATTTCCGTATGACCCCTTACCCCGGAGAAGCTGTCCTGCAGCCCCTGCAGGCTAGAGCTCAGGCGTATTTGTCTTACTGAGGGAGTGTGCTGTGCATTTTCACGTGTATCTCTCCTGCAGCCACCTTGCAAGATGGATGGCACTGTCACTGTGTCTTAGCTGTGGAAGGTAACTTAAGAAAGTTTAAGAAACTCCACTAAGGTCCCATGGGTAATGAGTCATGAAGTCAGAATTCCAGGCCTGATTTTCCAACCCCAAACCTGGCTCAGTAAATTCTGAGGGCTCAGTAAATTCTGTCCATCGCACCACTTGTTGTTGCAAATAAAGTTTTCTGGGCACAGCCACGCCCACTCATTTGCATATCATCTACAGTGGCGCTGTCCTGCTGCTGTGGCAGAGTTAAATAGTTGTGACAGAGACCACATTGCTCTTGAAACCTGAGATACTTACTCTCTTGCCCTTTACAGAAAAAGTTTGCAGCCCCTGTGCTTGACCATGGCTAGAGAAGCATTCAGGTTGTTTTTGTTTTCAGGCTTTGCTTCCAGGAATGCCTTGGTGGGCTGAGTTCTTGCTCTTTTTCAAAGGGTGTGTGTGAACCAACAGGTGAACAAGGAGAAAGCGGGCAGGGTCAGCACAGCTGTGCCTTACTGTCTGAGGGGAATGATGCTGTCTTGTCATAGGCTGGGTCGCGGATTCTGGCCACTGTGCTGTGGAGAGGTGGGGTTTGTATCTTTTTGCTTGACTCTGGAGTGGCCCTGGGACTTACTGTTACCAATAGATGTAGCAGAAGTGACACTGTGTAACTCTCAAGACCACGTCTAAAGAGATCTGCGATTCCCGCCTCATACTTTGAACACTCCCTCTTGGGGTCCAGCCATCTTTGGAGAAGCCCAAGTAGCCACGTGGAAACGACATGTCTCCATGTGAGAGAGAGGTCCCCGTCTTCCAGCCATCCCTGCCCCCTAGACATGTGAGGGAACTCACTGAAATGCTTCAGCCCTTGTTATCATCTGTGTAGCTTCCTGAGAGACCCCAGTTGAGACCAGAAGAAGGACCACCCAGCTGAGCCTCTGCCCCACCCGCAGAAATGAGATAACCAAATGTTGTTTTTGGCAGCTACACTTTGGGGTGGTCTGCTGTATGATGGTAGATAACTGAAACACCCCAAGACCAAGGTAAGATAGGACCTGGGGGACGTGCCACAGAAGCCTTCTGGATTGGGTGGTAATGACATGTCACAAAAATGTGAATTCTCCAGGTCAGTGCAGGAAGACTTTGAATTGTGAAACAGTTTTCTGAACTTGCTGAGTTCCGCAAATGTAATTCCTAAGAACTCTTGAAGATGATGTCATCTGGAGTCTGGGAAGCTGCCCTGTGATTCTAGCCTAATAAGAAGAGAGTGAATCTTGCTTTATTATGACCTTATCATGGAAAAGTAAGTGAAAAATAAACATTTTAAGCAGTTTACAGAATGTGTCCTTAAATACTGAAGTTAAAATATTTGTGCTAGTCTCCTTGGAAATTAAAAAAGCTTTTCTGAAAATGAACTATGAATTGATTTTGTCTTAGCGTGTTAAGGGGATATTTTCAGTGGGTGTAGTAGCCATTCACTTTGATACTGTTTGATTCTAATCCGAGGTCACAGAATTGTGGAAACACTGGAATGGGTTTTGAAACGTGCCTTTCTGCAGATCTGAGTCGGTGGTGCCTGTTTGTACTGAGTATTCCTGACTCCTGGGCTGGGAAGCTCTCTGATATCAAAGCCCATGGTTTCCTTTAACTCACTGAGCATCTCGGGTGAACTCTGTAGCTAAGAGAATGTCTGCTGTGGTGGATTATTTGCCTACTGGACAAAGGCCAAGCTCTTTTTAGCACGGGATACAAGGCCACGGCCACGCTAGTGTACAATTACATAGGTTACAGTGTGAGGAAGGGCCACTGAGCTGTGTGCTGAAGCCTCCTACATCTGCCCCTGCCTCTCTGGCTCTGCCCCTTGAATCTTAAGTTCCACCCGTGTTGAACCTTTTTAGGGTTTTCTTGTGCCTTCTGCCAAAAATGCCTCCCTTGCCCTTCCAACTGAACAACCCCAAAACCTTGTTATAAACAACACTAATATATTCACACATTGTACCCCAAATAACTTAAAAATTGGCTGTAGTCATACCACTACCAACAACAGACCTGCTAAATTAAATTCATGATTTACTTTTTGCAGTTCTTTTTGACCTTAGAAAGGATTTCATTGAGTGCGTACAGAGTATGGTGTGCCAGAATCACAGAGTATGATTCTCACACACCATACTCTGTACGCACTTCAGAGCACTGAAGTTACTAAGGATGTCGCTGTTTGCTCTGTGGTTATGTTCATTTCTTTCTGCTTACATGTTCTATTAGAGTCTCCATCTTCATCGGCTTAATTTAGTTTTTAGTTTATGTAAAACATTAACATGATCCAGAGTCCAAGGTGTAGGAAAAACTGTAGCCCAAGGTGGCCCCTTGCCTTTTCTTGTTTTTAACGTCAATTTCAATTTACTTCTTTATTTTTAATGGAGGTACTGGGGATCGAACCCAGGACCTCACGCATGCTAAGCACGCGCTCTGCCACTGAGCTGTACCCACCCCCTGGCTCATTACCTTCTTATTCTTTCACTCTATTCCTACCCGCAAAGGTAATCCATTTCCAGTTGCTGGTTTATCCTGTGTTTCTTTTTGTAAAAATAAATAGCTACTTATGTGTGATTATTTCTGCTGCTTCCTTGTAGAGAAAGTAGTAACGTTTTTATACCTTTCTTTTTCACTTAACAGTATATTCCACTGTTCTAGAATCAGTTAATGGAGATTCTCCTGATAGTTTTTTGTTTGTTTTACTGCTGTGTAGTATTCCCTTGTTTGAAACAGACTCAGGTATATAATCATGGAACTTGATTCCAGTATTTTATAGTTGATGTCATAATGAGTAACTGTGTGTGATTAAAAAAAATATTTTCCTACGTCTTACATATTTCTTGTTCAGTTTATTTCTGAGTGCTTTATTTTGTGGTCATATATAGAATTTTATCTTCCATTGTGTCTTCTAACTGGTTATTGTTCAAGGAGAGGAAGGCTGTTGATTTTTGTGTACTATGTCCTGCTACTCTACTGAGTTCCTTTCTTGTTTGGGTTTGTTATGTTATTGTTTCTCTTGGGTTTTCCAGACACATGATCGTGGCAGCAAAAACACCGTTTTGTTTCTTTCCCAATTCTTATGCCACTGATTGTTTTCTTTCGTCTAATTATATTAGCTAATACCCCCAACATACTGCTCCATAGTCGTGGTGATAGTGGAGAAGTGGAGATGGAACCTTGTTCCTGCCCTCGCGGAGAATGCTGCTAGCATTTCCACGTGAAGTAAGATGTTGGCCTTAGGACTGTGTGGTGTGTGTATTCATGTTAAGGCAGTATCCATCAGTTCCCATTCTATGGAATGTTTTTATTAGGAATAGGTTGTTGAATTTTAGTAAAGTGTTTTTTAGTAATTTTGGAGAGGATCATATTTTTTCTCCTTAGATCTAGTAACATGTGGATTATATTAATGGATTTTTAAATGTTGAGCTAGTCTTAGATACCTGGAATAGGTCCCATGATGTGTGTGTGTGTTTGTTAATGTGGTGGTGGATCTTCTTGCTCATGTTATATTAAATTTTTTGTTGCAATTCATGAGTGAGATTAGTTTCTAGTTTACATTTTTGTGCTATATTCATCTGGTTTACTTGTCGGTATTACATTTGCTTCATAAAAAGAAATGGATTTTTTTCATTTCCTATGCTCTAGAACAATTGAAGTGTAATTGGGATCATTTCATCTTTGAAGGTCTAATTGAATTCTCCTGAATTCTAGTAGAATTCTCTACTAAATTCAACAGTAGAATTTGTTGGAGAAAATTTTCATTACGTGAAGTTTAAGGATTTCTTTAAAAACTTTTAATGTTGGGTTATATGTCACAATTGTAAGTGTAAATAATAAGCTAACCAAAGCTTTATCTAAAACCAATCCCTCTTCTAGAGATTCTTTTTAATTGGAATTTTGCAGAGTAACATTGACATACCTGCCAAGACTGGAGTCACTCTGTATTAGTGGCAACAAACCTACTGTGGAACATTGCCTTTTTTCCCTATATGACATACTATTAGAGACCACGTGGGTAACACACAGGGATGAGCCCGGCTGGATAACAGGCATTAGAGGGTGGTGGGGACTGCGGCAAATTGGAGGGCAGCTGCTTTCTAGCTCCTGACCAAGTGTTGCTTCTTGGCATCATCTCAAAACGTGAGGCTGAAGTTGCCAGATCTTTGAATTTATCAAGAGAGGCTGAGAAATCTAGATTTTTTTTTAATGTGAAAATTTATGATATTTAAGTCTTGGCAATTAGTTCAACAATTAAAAACAGTGTAGGCAAAGCATAACACAGTTGTGAGAAGGTGACCCCATCAGTCTTCCTAGAGGCCATGTGGGTGGTATAGTTTTGAAGCTGTGAGCAAGCTGTCTTAGCCGGGTCTGCTGTTCAACTTTCAGTTGTGAAGAGGAAGCTGTGAGGCGTGGTAGACCCACCAAGGCTGTGGAGAGATGCTGTGGAGAGCTCATTTTGCTAATTAAAGCTGCATGGGGGTATTGGTCCTTCTGAGCAAGGTCCCCAACAGTCAGAAGTGGTGCCTCTGTGGGGCCTCCCGCTTTTGGCACCCTCAGGGACGGTGTCTGGTGGGGACCAGTGAGGCGCCAGCCCTCTTTTGTTTGGGGATGACTCAGTCCTCCCTGCCCCCGCTGTCCAGTTAGCTGGTGTTTCCTCCTTTCACTTCCTGTGTTGCTGTCGCCCCCATGCCTTGTGCTTATCATGGCCCCTCACCCTAGGGGGGGTCTTACTATCCCTCGGAGCGCTGAGACTGAAGGCCGGGCTGTCAGCGTTCACTCGGTGTGTACATGGCTGTTTTGACCTGTTCCCTAGTAACGGCCCTGTTCATTTCAGTCAGAAAGACTAATTGGGGAGCCTTGTTCTGGGGGAAAAGGATGTGCTTCAGCCTCGGTGGCTCTGGTCTCTGACCTCATTGCTTCCTGGGATAACTCATGTAGGGACTTGTGGCTTCTTTCAATACCACGCATTCCTAATTACTTGTGCTGCAGCTTGAGTAATCCCGAGGTCTGCTTTGGATAACTTCCTAAAAGTGGAGGATAAAAATTGAGCTAAGTTTCCCGTTTCTTTCTCGTCCTTTCCACGTGCCTGCATTAGTGCTTTGTAGAGAATTTGTTCTTTGACATTAAGCTGCTATGAGTCTAGAATCTGACTTTTTAAAAAAATTTTTAAATTGAAGTATAGTCGGTTTACAGTTTCTGGTGTGCAGCACAATGTTTCAGTCATGCATATACATACATATATTCCTTTTCATAGTCTTTTTCATTATAGGTTGCTGTAAGATACTGAATATAGTTCCCTGTGCTCTACAGTAGGACCTGTCGTTTACCTATTTTGTGTATAATAGTTAGTGTCTCCAAATCCCAAACTCCCAGTTTATCCCTCCACCCCACCCCCACCCTTTCCCCCTGGTAGAATCTGATTTTGAATGTGGATCAAATGAACTCACTTGCCTGTTAGGGAATTATTTAGAATTAATAAAATCCAGAATGGGACACTTTTTCACTACGTATGTACCTGAAGCATGAATCATTAGCCGAAGGCACTTTCGTGTGATTCAGTTTGTCTAGAGAGTTAAGAATTGAAGGGCTTTGATTTATTGATTACTGTTAAGCACATTTTATTAAAAAGAACCTTACGTGTAGCTAAGGAGCCATGTCCGAGTGGAGATGTTTCTTCTCACTTGATCCAACAGTGAAGTCAGAATACAGCGACAACTTCTGTTTCCATAGCGGCGGAATCTGTTTTCAAAAACACAGGGCTGTGATCTCACTGTTGGTCAGTGCATGCTGAGAAGCTGATATGGAAATAGAAATGAAGCTTTATTCAAAACACAATTTAAAACAAAAACTTCCTGTCCTCCTTTGATGCTTAGATGAGATCCCCCCTTTTCAAGTTTTGCGAGTTAATCTCAGAAGTTGACCATGAGTTGATGGTACTTGTCTCACTCAGGAAGCCCCTCAAACATGTCCTTCTCACTTCCGCATAGGACAGATGACTCAGTGAAATCCGTTGTACTTGATAATCACTGC